CATTTCTTAAAAGCTGCAGAATGGCAAAGTTCCCTGTGTAACTATAATTTAACATCTTCACACAGGTGCATTATAAAAAGATAGCGTAAAAGACTAGCGTAAAAGCATAAAGTCTGTGTCACAGGCTACCTACAGAATCATTCACTCAGAGGTCCTAGCAGCTGCTATTTTGTCTTGGCATATTTACTTACTTTTGTTGCCAAAATCAACTGGATTAAAACAAAATTGAAGCATGCCAGTGGAGGATTGGAGGCCTATACAAACTCATACATATCCATACATCATTCATACACAATTAAACCCATTATGGACTTTGTGAAATAGATATTGACTCAAATGTATGCTGATAGCTTCCTGCTCAAAGCCTTAAGACAAAAATTAGCTATGTAAACAACATCCTTGTGATCAGTTAGCTTTTTCTCCTAAATACTTCAAAAGCCTCAATTAACTCTAAAAAGTAGGGTTTTTTTATAACATCTTATTATTTTAGTAAGTTTAGCTGTTATAACTGTGCTAAAATATAATTAATTTCACTGTCAGCAGGAGAAATAAAGAACATGGATAAGTTTCAAGTGAAGTTCACAAAAACAAGAAGAAGGAAATAACCACATCACTTGTCTCATTCATGGATTATACTAAACATGACAGACAGATATCTATTACTCTACAGAGATTGATTCTCTTCCATTTTCTAAGAGGACATGAACGAAATTCTTTCAAACTGTTGACAGCTTTTAATAAAAGACACCACACATATTTCTGGATTTGTTTTTTGGACCTAATATTTCATCCTACTTTAGGCCCTCAGTAAAAATCACACTATTAGGTTTTTCCTTTTTATTAATTACAGAAAAAAAGATTAAGACAATCAACCAGAAAAAAACCACAATAGAATTTGCCACTATGAGTCATATCAGCAGCTCTTCAGAGATTATTTAACTGCACACAAACTATTCACAGCTTCTTAGAACCCATTTAGTATTAACCTAATTTTAATTAGTTAATTTCTTCCATTCCAAACATACCATGTTGACCTATTCTGACCTCTGGCTTTCTGCAAGTCTTTACTTGACTACTGTTGTGTGTAGCATAGAGCCTACAGCACCATAAAATAAGTTACATACAGACATTTACACAAGAAACTGCTTTCTAGGAAAGAGTTTGAAAATCAAGGAGAGTCTTTTCCCTTCATTGTATTATCTTGCCCTTTAGAATTAATCTGAGGGGGAAAAAAATGGTTGAATTATGGCAGAGAGTTTTGCCATACATTCACTGTGCATTAGATCACAAGTAAAGTGAATGAACAAGTGAAATTAATTTTCAGATTTTAATCAAGAAGAAAGATAATGTTGTGCCTAAATATACAGGCTCCAAGTGTTACAGAGAAGCTCTCTGCTCTCTGCAAATTTCTTCCTCAGTTTTGGCTTCTCCAGCCATTACTGTGACAACGTTATTTTCTCTTCCTACTCGTTTCCTTCGTGGGTTATAAACTTTCAGAGGTAGGAGGCTGCCCCTCAGTGCATATTTGTACAGCATCCAGCATAAAATGCCATGGTCTCAAATGTACTCTGAGCCCTAACTGAAGACAAGCACTTCACAACTCTGTTTTCAAAGATATCTGAGATGAAAAAAGCATAGTGACTGAAAATGGACAGAAATGCAAGGTGCATTGGAATTTTAGCTTGGGAACATATTATACGTCCTAATTTGCATTGCCCTAATACTATTTTCTAGCCTAAATTAAGTTTGATCTCCAAAGATAGGAGACTCTGAGGATCTCTCAACAGAAGGCATTTCCTCAACCTTTTGGAATATACTTCTACAAAGAGGATTAATATAAGTACTGAAGTTATTATTTCTGTTTTAAAGACAGCATGATGGCACAGGGGTATGAGAATCCATAAACTTCAAATTTATTCCCAGCATAAAAAGTCAAAATAAGCCATGTACATGGGCCTTCAGGATCTTATATAGCCTGCCTATTTTTCCAAGTCTTTTGATGAAATTTAATTATTTCATAGAGCACAAGAAATATTAGAAATCATCAATCAGTAAGCCTGTTTGCATTATGCAGTAACAGGTTGACCCACTATGAACTTCTCTAATGGTTTTGAATCTTTAAATTTTACATTAATTTTGGCTTTGAAATGCATTCTTTTTTTTTTTTCCTTTTGAAATCTGAAAACATTGCAGATTAACTTTTATTGTCTTCTTGAACTGTGGAATCCAATGCATGTGAGTTGCTATAAATAAACATCCACTACATTGTAGTAACTGACCTTTGGCCCACTCTTAGTGTCTTTCAGTGCTGAGGGAGAATTCACTAGATTAATCATTAATCATAACCAGTAGCTCTGAGGACAGATGTCTCTTACAACAAACAAAGTACCAGTGCTGCATGTGGTGGTCAGAGGATACAGACTATTACTGCCCAAAAGGCCAAAGTTACTACTGGGAATGTTTCAGAAGTCATTAGCTCAGCACATCTAGTTTAAGGTGTTCTTCCTCCACTGGTACTGCTTTTCAGGACTGAGTCATGTTTTCTTAGCAATGCTGCCCAACTGTGGTAGGACAGGGTTTTTTAAGGCTGATTTTTAAGTCATACTGGAAAGATCTCATCCATCCACTCAAGAATGAGGAAGCTGCCTAACACCTTTACATAAGCAGTCTTACTACTAAAATTATGGGTAAGCACACAAAAAACCTTACTGCACTTCAACTTTCCATTTTCCATTTTCACACAGGTTTCAGCTGTACTTTCAAACTTTTTCAGTACTGGAAAGTAGTATATAGATACTGCTACATATTTTCTTAAAAGAGCAGGGCTAGCTGATTTTATATCCAGCTGCTGAAATTAAATACAGTTTTTTTAATTAATATATTTTTACTGTCACACATGGTTTCACTGCAGTAAGATACAGAACATTTCTGAAGAGCAACAGTATTGTGGTAGTAATCAGAGATCCCTGTACCTAACTACACAAACACTGAATATGCTCTCTGCCTAGAAACGTAATCTCCTTCAAGTGTTAATGAAAACAATGTTTATAAATACATGAAAGATAAATGGGAAACAGACATGAGTTTAAATATCAGAGAAAAGCTATGTAATGACAGCTCACTGGATGCCAAAGATTAGCGCTTGTAACTTTCCCTCTTGTTCCTTCTTGTAACGCAGTGTTATAATTATTGCTCCCATGGCTGCAAGCTGCCAACAGACTCTCAACAATACCTAAGAATAGACATCTAGGCATCACAGGAGCTTCATCTCTTCTGCACTGGGTAAACAACATTTGTCAAATTAAGCTTTACATACATTAGGAACAATTGCTTCGCAAAACAAAGAGACAACGACAAATGAAAAGTTATGATCAGATGTAGAATCACTGACGTTAGTATGAACCAGCTGTAACTGATGGGAGGAAATAAGGATGATGTCAGTAACAACTGTTTACAACATTAGTGCATGTTTTGTCATAACCACAGTCCCCCCCAGAAAGCACTACAGCATACGGACATATCTGTATTCCTTACCACCAGAGGCTTTTGACAGGGACTCTTCTGTTTCAGTATCTTTCTGTTAACCAGATTCCCCTGTTCAACAGACCTAAGGCAGGCTTGTCTCTTTCATTTTTGGTATCTGTGCTCAGCATATACTAACTTCCCCCCTACTACGTTATATGCTTTTCTCTAGATCTCACTGACAGGAATTGTGGTGGGAAGGCAGGGAAGGGGCTGGGCTGAGAAGGGAAGGTGTTAATAACTACTTTTTGCAGATCTGATGCTCCTTAAAATAAATTATTCTTGGCTGTGAAATATAAGTGTTTGCCTGCAATAACTGGATGCAGCTACAAAAGTACTGTAATCACAAAAAAATCATTCAGTTGCCTACAGAAAAAAAAAACAAAAAAGTATTCTTGTTTAAAGAAGAAACAGGAAGTTAAATTAGGACAACTGAGGTTTTGCAAACTAGATTTAACTAACAAGCACACTGTCAATCCTCTCTTATTTTTCTTCCTATGGTTGCCACTGACTGCAATCGCTGCATTTTGTGATGCACTGGAAGTGGCAGGCATATATTGCCTGAAGTGAGACTGTACCTTTCATTGGTAACTGGATTTTTGACCAGTTCTCACAGAACTTCTTTCATAAGTATCTTACTCCTTCTAAACTGCACAGCTTTCAGCTTCCTGGTCTTGTTACATTGTTTGGAACACTTATTCAATTGTCATATTCTCTTCCAATGAATTTCAAAATGGAGGAAGTGGAAATAAAAAATTAAAACAAGGAAAAAGAAATCTATTCTCTCTCTTTCCCCTCCAGAAACATCAAAGATTGTGTACATATTACATATTTAACATGTGTACATGTTAAAAAAATATTACTTTTCCCCTTTTTGTGTCATGTTTTGATTTTAGCTTTGCTAAACTCACTGATCCTTTTTCAAATCAAACTTAATTTAAAAGTGCATGCACATTATACTAATGCTGTGAAATTATGTAAATGCAGAAAAAGTACATGCTCCTTAAGCTTCCAGAATAGTTTATGTCACCCTGAACATATTCTGCTAATTTAATACCAAAAATATATTTAAAATATTAACTATGCTGAAGGAAATGACTAAACAAATTTGAAGCTTAACTAAAGAACAGCCCAACTTATGACAATACTATAAATATCCAAGGCATAATTGTTGTTCCAAAATATTCCATTTTGTCATAGCCAGATTGGAGAATTTAGGCAGAACTCTGTACAGGCTTCTTTAGGAAAATAAGCCTGACTGCCGTAATTTCAGTTTTAGTTTATACAGTGGCAACCTTTTTCTAAAAGAGCTCTATTACAGTTGGCTTATCATGGCAGAAATGCTGTCATTAGCTTTGACAGACAGGAATTTTGAAATGAGGTCACAAGCTTAGTTTGGATCTTCCCTTGTCTGATTAGACAGAGAGTATTTTACCACAATTGGCTCTAGTCACTGATGGATTTTCATTCCCAAATACCTGTCATCACTGTCACTGATGCATTCAGGAAGAGCGAGACTACAGCCAAACAGCATGATGTGTTGATAGCAGTTGAGACGATTGAGGTAACTGAAGAACTTCAGGAACTTCTCCATTTCAATGCTTTTGACAATGGAAAGAACTGAAGTTACAGTGGTGTAGTTATATGGAAGTATTTGGCACTGGCTGTTGGTGATAGTTCTGCAGGCACCTGTGAAAGTAAAACAATATATTTAGAGCAATAGTATGACTACTGAATAGTTGGTTCAAAGCATGTATTGAATTGACTAGTCAGTATATATAATATATAAGCAATGCTGGTATCTCACAGATAAGATTACATTCCATAATGCTACCATAATACTGTCAAAAAATAAGAAAAAAATTAAACCAGAGAAGCTTAGCTTGGAAAACCAAATAAGCTCGTAGATATTTTAACAATCCTCTGACTTTGTATAAAACTGGAACAGAAATAAAAAAAAAAACAATTTCTTTTTGACAGCCTGGATACAATAAAATTTAGTTGAAGCTGAGAATGGAAGTCACATAGAAAAAAAATGGGTTCTGAAGCTGTTCTGGCTTTAGTGTTCGCATAAAGTTTCTCTTTTCATTATCATTCTATTTTCACAAGTAGAAATTTCATCAAGTGAAATTTCATCAAAATTATTCACGAGATCATCATGTATCTCCTGAAGCACAACTGCATGATAGTTCCTGCCATGGCATGTGGCAAGAAGTACTGACATTTTTGGCTGAGTTCACATGCATGGACAGCTTTAGATATTTTATAATTCACACAGTCCTGACAGAGAAGGGTACAGTTCCTTGGAGCTATCTGATCTTTTTGTGGTACTCACTGGCTGGACAGTGGAGCAATGAATTCAAAATTCATGGATAAGAAGGAATTTTGTGGCAATTATATAACAATTTTTAAAACAGAGAAGAGATTAAACCCAGGACCTGTCCTTGCAACAATCACACAGAGAAGAGTGTAAATAGCCTTCCTCCACCATTCTCATAAGCCCCCTTCAGGTACTGTAAGGCTGCAATTATGGGGAATATAAACTAGCTTTGGCAATACCTACAGGAAGGTAAGAAGAGCAGTGAATGGGAATAACGGCAAAACGCTGTTGATCAGAACAGTATGGTGCCAAATTATATGGGTCATTTCTGACATTCAACTGAATTAAGAGATTTCTGTTTATCACCAGAAATTGCCAAATGGATTGAACTCGTAAAAAAGTGCTTTCTTCCACTCCAGCAATTGCAGTGCAAGTGTACAGTTTCATTTCAGTCCTCTGAAACTAATTTAAACTGCACATTTTCCCTTTTCCAGTCTCCTCTTCAGATTGTTCCTATGGACTGCATCTGAACAAAATACACTGAACTAGCAGGTGCAGCTGACTGGAAATAACCTTCTCTCCCAAAAGACAAAGTTCACGGCAGCCCCAAAGAAAAGCAACTACAACTGCAGCTAAGCTTTATCACTCTCTTTAGGTTTAAAAAACTGAGCCATGCCTGTAATGATAATAAGACCATACATAGTTCCTCACCCAGAAGTGATTGCTGCTTCCAAATTTATGAGGCCATGCAATGAACTAGCTCTGCACATTAGCGTGCCTGCGTATTCTCTCTTCTCTTGCACCACAGTGTAATTTTTTGGTGGCACAGGGTGAGAGAAAGAGGGGAAAAAACAACTGTTTCACTTGGACGAAATAATTGAGTTGGACAGCTTTTTGGGGAAAAAATTATTTTCCAGGACAGGAGAAGGGGTGGGGCAGTACAGTGGCAAGAACCGGAGGGTAAGATCAGAGCTGCTCACAGCAGCTGAAGCAGTTATTTTACACAAAGTGTCATCCCTGCCCAGCAACATAAAGCCCTTTGAAAGGGTTAGGAATACTTCAATTGCATCATCAGAGTCAATTCCTGTCTAATGAGAAATAAAATAATATCCTTCCTCCAAAAAGTTAATTAATAAATTTGGTGCAACTCTTCAATCTTAATGCATCCATTTTCTAATTTGCACTATAAAAACACTCCTGGGATCCTTCAGGCATCTAAAATGTAATGCAGTTAAATGATGGTCTCAGTTAAAGCTAATGTAAACCTGCCTAGGCTAGGATTTTAACAGGATTTTTATAGAAGATACATAAAACATGCCTCTGTCTCAGGTATGCAAAGCATAACATAGTATGTGAGAAGAGTATGTAGCCTGAAGAGAAAAGTAGGTGGTCTGATTTTCATATCCCAAGTCAAATTTGCTCAAGTTTCAATTAGAAAATGGTCTTTTTAATCAGAGGAACTTTTACAGAACATCTTTAAGTAGCCTTCAGAAAATGGAATTGTGTTCAACTTGCAGTAGTGATCACCACCAACTTCATTACAGAACTTAGCTTAGCATGCCCTCAGCACTAATTGCACAGTTGCAATCCATAATCTCACTGGTAAAGCCTCCTTAAATCTAAGGAAAAATGGCAATAATCACCTGGCTCTTCCATAGCAAAAGTTCTACCAACAAGGAACGAAATCTTACCTTTAATCAGTCCTAAAATGTCTTGAAAATTTCTAAGAATCCCACAAAAAGACGCAAAACAAAAGCAAACTCACCCAGTATAACTTGCCTATGACAGCATTTTGCAGGCTTCTTGATAGGGGAATGACCTACAGCACATCAAATCTTTATCAACCCCAAGTTGCCATGTTCCCCTGACCTTAAAAAAATGTAGTCACTCTCCTTGATTTCACAATTGCCTGTGTGAGACATAAGAACCTATACAATGCCTTTTTTAGCTCTTCTGTTCTGTTGATAAGCATCTGCTTTATCATGGACTTTGCTCCATGTGAAAGCACTACAGCATTCCCACCCCAGCATCTGATTTTTCCAGCAAAACCTTTTTCCAAAAGTCATTACTGTCTTCAAAAATTTTCATTTACTATTACTTCTTTTCATTTACTATGACATCTTGGTATATTTTTCATTTCAGTTAAAACAGAAGATGGACAGATTTTCTTGGGCCTCTCTCCAGCTATGAATTTTCTCATGTACAGTTTACTTGGGACGGAATATCTCATTCTGCATTTCAGATGTTTTCTCCATAATTTTCTTAGGATCTATCCTTTGGAATCACCACAGCAGGGAAAACTACAAACTGTTTTCTCTTTATTGTGAGTTAAAAGCAATCATTTTGCAACTAAAGCATAGTGTCTGTAATTTTTTCACACAAATGCTAACTTGAAAACTCAATTTCCACAACTCACAGCAGCTTCTCTTTCCTGACACAATGGATAATTTGGCTGTTGAATGCGTATGCTGGGTGACTCTTCCTTTCTAAAAACATTCTCAGTTTCTTCCTGGCATTTTTTTCCACACTCCTATTTGTTTTTTTCCAAAACACATTATACATAAAACATCAATTAATCCTTACAGAACAGCTCACAGTCCCATTACTACGGAAGAAAATAAAAAGGATACCTGTACATTCTGGAGGAACCCCCCACCATTTCAACTAGTAGGAAGAGCATTGTTTGGGTACTCTTAAGATCCCTTGGAAAGGTACACTTCAGCTCAGGATAACAGATATTAAGAAATTTAAGAAATTAATTCTGTGGTAGTAGACTAATAAAATCAAAGTAGTAGGGGTTTCACTATAAAAAAAAATTAACCATACAAGAAAAGTAAGGTCTGAAGGAATTTATATTTTTAATTACAGCACCTGATACAGAGAGAATGAGGTAATATTAGCAGGTGACCACAGGACACAGCTGAGCCCTCAGTCAGGAGGGCAGCACTGCTGGGAGAGCAAAATTCTGCACATGGGAGTGAGTGAGGAAAATAGAAGTGTGGGAAATAATCCTGTAACACTGAGGTGAGAGAAGGGGGAAAAGCTCTTCAGGCACCACAGCAGAAATTTCCACTGCAGCCCATGGAAGGGACCTGGGATAGAGTAGTAATGCACTCCGCAGCTTGTTGAGGGCTCCATGCCAGAGCAGGTGGCCATGTCCTGAAGGAACTGCAGCCTGTGAAGGACCAGTGCTGAAGAAGGCTTATCCTGAGGAACTGCAACCCACCCAGAGGGCCCACACAGGATCTGTTCTGGAAGGTATGCAGACCATGCAGAGATCCAGCACTGAAGCAGGAAAAATTGTGAGGAGGAAGAAGCAGCAGAGTGGAGCTCTTATGGGCTGATCACAACCCCATTCCCCATCTTCCTGCACCGCTCGCAGCTGGGAGGAGGTAGAGGAGTTGGAAATGAAAGAGTGAAGCTGAGCCCGTGAAAGGAGGGCAGGATGAGGCAAAGTGTTTTAGTTATTTTATTTTTTTTCTCACCATCCAATTCTGGTTTTAATTGGTAATATATTAAATTCATTTTCCTGGGTTTGCTTTGCACCTGATAGGAACTGGTAAGTGATCTCTCTGCCTTTCACTCAACCTAAGACATTTTAAATCTTGTTTCCTGCCTTCCACTGTCCTGTGGAGGGGATGGAGCAAGAGAGAAATTGGGTGGATATCTGGCAGCCCATAAAGAGCAATCCGCCACAGTCTAATAAAAAATATCCTTTCTTTCCAAACTCAAGTACCATGAACATATAATTGAGAAAACTTTCTGAGACACGATTGAGAACTGAAACAATTCTACAGAGTTAGTTTCAACTCATGCATTGCTGTAGCGTCTCTTTAAATACTTAGCTAGCCTAGATCCCATTTTGCCATGTCAGATTTGGATAATTTTCATGTGCTTCTCACTGCATGGCAGGGAGTGGCCATGGCAGGGAAGATAAACTTCATTCCAACCAAGCATATCTTAGAGACATCGGACTCAGAGTCATGTGGAAAAAATTCACTGATGAGGGGAGAGGAAGCCTGAGAGAAGGGGAAATTATAGGTCATCTTTCTGAATGGAAGGCTAGACGGAGGGTAAAGATACAGACACATCAAAGATGCAGTAACAGATTTCGATCATTTGGATAATGCCCACTACAGGATAAAGTTCTCATGAGCCTTGGTGTCAGGCATATTGATTAGACAAGAGTATAAATCAGAGGAAAAATTTACGCAGACAGAAAACCAAAATTAACCTGTGGAAGGAAGTAGCTTGAAAAAAAATCTAGACTTCAGTTCTTTTCAAGCCTGATCAACATCCCCATCATTTGTACTATTTTCCCCAGTCTAAAACTCTCAATTCCACTAAAAAGCACTCTGTTGGCTAATCT